GAGGTCTACCTTTATCGCCGAAAGGGCGAGAAATGAGTTGTGACCGATTTTCTTATTATGTTTTTCAATTACTCGCGCGCGTAAAACTAAAGTTGATGTATAATAGCGTTGTGTAAAGACTTAAATATTGTAAAAAAGTTATTGTATAAATTTTATTTAAAACATTCTAACAAGAAAGAAGTTTTAGTCTGAAAGACTTTTTGAAATGTAGTATTATTTCAATGTAGAAAGAATTGGCACTTGCTTTGAAAAGAATAGAAGTTAACAATGTACTACTAATGTATGTTTTCAAATGTGTAAAATTAACGGCATCTTGATATGTTCTGTATACATGTGAACTGTTATTTTGAAATGTTTAGAAATAACGTGATATGGTAAAAGTGAAAGTAATGTTAAAAAATTTGTTATTCGTGTGACTGTAAAGATTAAATCATGGTGAATATGTGTTAAAGGTTGAATGATGTAGTTAGGCTCTCTGACGCTACACTTTAGAGTTAGCCACTTTCAGAATAGTACCTCAGGGTCTAGAGTTGAAATTAGGGTGTGTTAAGAGGTCTCGTATGTTGAATTTTAACACGTTAGTGTTTTGATTGTAGGAGGAAGTGTTGAACACATAGACAGAAACACATTCGTGTTTGGTGTTCTTTTACAACACATGTCAGAGAGCACGGGGAGAGATAATTAAAATAGTCATGAATGAAATAAGAATGTTAAGAGAAAGTATATTCTATATGTTATTTGCAATGTCATTCTGTTTGTAACATTTCATTAAACTAGTTTTCCTTCCAGATCTCTGGAAGGAACCAGAATTGAATAAAAGCTCCTGTTTAGATGCAGTACAGATGAAAAAAAAAAAAAAGATTGTTGTATATTCCGGGAGCTGCTATTGTAACAAATTTCTTTCTTTTAAAATTTTCTAGTTTCTAGCTAAGTTATGTTTGTAAAAAGGTTGGCCTCGCGTTAGTTTCTAGAGCTAAAAGTTTTCAACAAGGTCGTTTTAGACCTCAGTTTCAAACTAATTAACTCTGGCGGGAAGTATGTAAGGATCTTAAGTTTTACTAACGTTTATTTTATTTTAAATCTTTACTATCACTTCTTATTTTCTACTTCCGGCCAGAATTATAAGCGTGAAGGTGAAGGAGTTTATGCAAAGTTGTCTGGCGAACGCCAAGTATTTAAGTGTGGCCTTTTTGCCAAGCAGAGAGAGAGGAAGCCGTGAGTTCGAGTTCGAAGCAGGCCGCTTACCTTAGAAGTTACGCAGTTGCTACTTTGCCTTCCAGGCCAGAGGTTTTAATCCTCTTGATAATTAAACGTATTGTAGTGTTCACAGTCTCTGTGCTACATACGCTTCCTGTTATTATAAGGCCAATCTTATTCTAAAGTTAAATTAGAGTTTAGTTTTATTTTGATATCTTTTAAGTTAGACCCCGAGTGGAGGGTCATTGTATTCCGAAGTACGAAAGTCATTGTATATAAAGAAAAATAAAGGGTTTTGTATACCCTTCGTCTGTATCCTGTCTATTTACTACAATTAGTGAACATAGCTTTAGTAAGCTCTCTGTTCCTAGTCAGGTCATTGTATGTTTCCGAAGAAGGTTAGAAGAAACATCGAACCTGATAAGTGGACCGCCTGCATCAGATGTTATCAAATTATCCTGCTGTTAGAAATAAGCATAAGAGATATTAATACTTTTCCATTATGGTTTATTTCCTTATAATTTTACTTAATATTCATTGACATTCATCCACTACGAAAGTCATGTATGGAAAGTTATGATGTACAGAGAAAACAACATTACACGCTACGAAAAACAGACGTCCGTTGGGGGGGGGATTATGGCGGACAGGAGAGGACAGCGAAAGTTGTTAAGAAAGATGCACAGCCTAAAAACATTTGAAAGAACCTTTTCTTTGCAGATATTTCAGATACCCTAGAAGGTCATACCTGGAGATACACTACGCAAAAAAAGGGGGCAGTTCTGTATCTCACGTTCTACTGAGCCAATTGACAAAATTCAAATTGCGTTCTTCATGTCTCGAAAGCGCGACTTAGGATATCTATTACATTTACATATAGCATTGTCCTAACATAGGAAGTTTGACACAAAAGACTTTTTCTGAAATAATATACCCAATGTTTTCCATATTTCGATTCTACGACTCAAATTATGCCTAGATATACAATTTTGTAAAATTTCGTGCGAAATTTACGGAGAAATTCAAAATTCATTTTCGGTTTGCGCCAAGAATAATTCACTTGGAAACCAATTTTCCTTTCGCTACCATTATGCCGGAGCGGGAAAAAAGGCACCTCGTTCCTATCTTTTTACATTGCGCATGAGCGGGGAAACATCATTCTTCATCATTTTTTATTTAATTAATTATTAATTAAATAATTTTCAGTAGTTAATAAAAAATACTTTTTATTCATCCACAAGTTAAAATACATTTTTTAAACTTGTAGTGGATGGCACTTGATGATAATACAGTTTTTTAAAAAAAAAACGTTTAATTTTTTTCGAAAAAATTTTTTTTCGGAACTAAAATTTTTTTTTTTTTTTTTTTTTTTTTTTTTTTTTTTTGTTGGTGTTGACTAAATAGGAATGACTTTAAAATATTTTTTATTTAATTAATTATTAATTAAGTCATTTTCAGTAGTTAATAAAAATACTTTTTATTCATCCACTCAAATTCAAATACATTTTTTTAAACTTGTGGTGGATGACACTTGATGTTAACACAGTTTTTACACATAATAAAAATGTTTAACTTAAAATAAAAATGTTTGCATTTAATTTTTTTTTTTCATTTTAAAATTTTTTCTTTGTTGACCTAAGCAGGAATAGACTTTAAAAAAAATTTCATATTACTTTTTTATTTTCCATTACAAATATCCATCTACAAATGCCACACTGTAAGGTAATTATAAAATATCAGCAACAAATGCTACACACTAAAATTACCTATTTCTGTCCACTTCCACTCCCGTGAGACACTTCTACAACATTTTATGAAACATTTAAACGTTTTATTGCATTAAATGGCGTAAGGACCGTATATGAGCTCTCTGTTATCCAGTGGCGTAGCTAGGGTGGGGCAAGAGGAGACATCTGTCCCCGGGCGCAGCATCCAAGGGGCGCCAAATTGATGCTACGAAATTTTTTAATGAAATGTTTTCCATTCTTGGCACAAAAAAAGAGGCGCAAATTCTTCAGTTGTCCCCGGACGGTGGAAACTCTAGGTACGCCCTGCTGATATCCTTTTTTTTTTTCCTGCAATGTCGGACACTTGCCTATAACGGCATTGGCCACTCCTAAGGACAGAAGTGGTGGCCATTTTATTGTGGAGGCACCTAATAGGCGTCCACCGTTACCTCCTACGAAGGGACAGACAATTTTACATCCAATGCCTTCTCCGGAATTCGAACCCGAGCCCTTAGGTATCGCAGTCATGCTCACCTAACCACTATACCGTCTGGGGGGCAGTTTTATATCTCTATAATTAGTTCCATAGTGTGCCAAGATCACGTTTACATCTCTACATATAATAAAAGAAAAAGGTCTGTGTGTCTTTCGTTCGTGCTGCGCGTAATCTAGTTGACCGAGGGAAACGAAATTTGGTAAATAGGTGCATCTAGACAAGAGCCAGTGCACCTCGAAGCGAGGTTTTCAAAATTCGAATCAGATTTTTTATTTTTTGTTTTATTTATTTATTTATTTTTGATGAAACCGCATCATTTTGAATAGTTTTATTCTTTTAGAAATGTAGTTTTAGCAACAGTTTTTCATTCAATGCTTTGTATACTGGACTGCTGACTCTTGAAAATATCAGATAAAATATTATTAATTATACACGCAACACGCACTTCGCAATCTTCTTATTCTGATGCGCATGTGTCTCGCGAGACACAACAGATAGAATTTCTTTTCTCTCTCTCTCTCTCTCTTTCTCTCTTTATTAGCTAATGGTAAAGAGGTTTGTATATTTTGAATTATGTCATCCACAAAGCACAACTGATTCGTTACTGCTTTCTGATGATAGTTTTAATCTTTTAGAAATTTGGTTTTGGCAACAGTTTTTCATTCATCTCTTTGGATACTAAACTGCTGACTATTTTTTGTTGAAAATATGAGATTTATTGCTTATTTTATTGTATTTTCTTATATTATGTTTTAATTATATATAATTTTATTACATCGAAAGTTTTGCATGACTTTTTTTTAGGAAACAAAGTTCTTAATTTCCTTTATACTATTTGAATTCTTAAGATTTTGCAACGGGAAGTTGGTTAGCTTATTTATTAGGATAATTAATATTTGTGTTAAGGGATATTGCTTATTTCATTGTAATTTTTTTATATATAATACATTTTTATTGAAATTTTCGTGTCTTTTTTTTTTTTTTTATAAAGTTGTTCTGCAGAGTAAATTCTGTGCAGTTTTTAAATTTAACGTTTGGTGTTACCTTTAGGCATTTTTCTGGCACATTTAAAAGCCAGACGAAAGCTGGCAACGTAGCGGCTAGTTACTAAATATTTGATAGCCTTTTTCCTAAAATCTGATTTTCACTTTATCTTGACTATGCAATACTTAATTAGATATTATCGGCGAGCACATAAATAACAAAATAATGGGTTCACTAAAAGTAATAAATATTAATGAAAAAACCTGTGGTATTTTTACGAAGTGTTGATAGGTCATTCCCAAACTGTTCCATCTCAATTAAACTCGTATAATTCCTAGATTTAATTTCTTGGAAATTCCGTTATCTATGAGCATTATCTGAGTATATTTTGCACAAAAAAAAATGGTGTCGATAGATTATTTTCAGCACTAATATTTTAAGCGTCCAAATCTAGAAGTGAAGTTTTCAGCAGCTATCTGGAGCGACATCCGCAGAGACATTGTTTGGCGACACTATTGGCGAGAGACTGTTATTTTGGCGACTAACAGGAAGCAACCCGAGCCGGCGATGCGGCTACTAGGCAATCATACATCTTTCGGGTGTATCGATAGCACGGGCTTTGAACGCGTGGTAAAAAATTATTAACAGCCGGCAATGGGTGACTCAAAAACCGATGAAAGCAAGTCAGCTGACAACAAAACGAACCAAAATGCTGAAGAACAGGCAGCACCGCCACCGAATGAAATGCGGGCCATTGTTCTTACCAATTTCGGTGGCCTAAAGGCCGTGAAGGTTATGAAAAAGCCGGAACCGACACCGGGAGAAGGAGAAGTCCTCATTAGGGTTAAAGCATGGTATTTCTTTTTATTTATCTTTCAATTAATGGATGAGTCATTGAATTCCTTTCAAAATTATCATTGGTACTTGTGTATCTTTCATTTGTGAGTTCCGTTTGAAATATGAAACATCTAGAAACCGGTTTGCAAGCGACCATCTGTTAGCGAAACCCCTATGGAGTTGTCATATTGCGGGAATAAATCCTCGCTAAAAGGTTTCATCCCTCGATGCAAAAAATAATTTTATTATATAATTATATTTTAAACAATATTAATAAACGTTTAAAGTCAATTAAATTATGTAGACTAAATTGATTAAGTATACAAATAGGACTTCAGGAGTAGTTTTTAAGGAAACAAAAAAATCAGTAAATTATTTAATATTGAATTTATATAATAATCATATATGGAATGACATATCTTCCCGTAAATTATAAGTGTAAAAGTTTTATTTATTGTAATCGAGAATGCAATATGGCTCGGACAGTGTTCAAAATCAATTAACGCGCATCTTAATAATCATTTAATTAATGAAATAATGGAGTTTTTATGCATTATATACTGAAATGTAAAAATTCTCTTTTAATCACATTCAACAGATTAATTTTAAATATTTTGTTTTCCGTATCGAAGTATTTAGACAAAAAATTTATGTCTAGCATATTTGAAATGCAAATTCAAAGTAAATATACTTTGGTGATGCAAATTCTATTAAGCATAATTCTGCTTATCATATCAATTACAAATACCTTGTTCATTTCAAACGATGAAGCTTTCTAAATTTAAATGAAAAAAAAAAAAAATCTTAAAGCTTCCAGATTTTACATTCCGCCCAAAGGGCGCTTTTAACGTTTTGTGTGTTACCTTTATTGATTAAATATCATGTTCTTCGAATTTAAGCCATAAAATTCAAATCAGTGGCAATATCGTAAAACAATTTTAAAATGAGCATATCTTTAGAATTTCCGATACAGAATCTCGAGCGCTGGAGATAAAAATGCTTTTTTTTCGTACGGTGTTGCCATTGCTCGCTTAGAAATCTTTGTGTTTGTTTGTAAAAAATTTCTTAAAGTGTTATAAAATATGAAATCGATCATAAAACAAATTCCAAATTAGGATTTCCAGATGCCTACATTCGATGCAAGATTACGTTATTCATAATTCGATGGCTCTAGATCCCCTTGTTTTATCACAATGCGAGAAACATACATGTATTTATGCAGATTCTTCATAATTTAATAATTTAAATATAACACCGGGCGATACGTTTTCTGCTGCTTCGTGCGATATTTGACACTGCCGGACATAAAGCATCTTCAACATGTTTCAACGTTGAACGACATTTGATTTTAATTAGTGTTGAAACTGAAAAAGTTGTTTTATAAAAATATATGGTGCGGAATGAGGGAAGAACATTTAATGCCATTTCAGAAATAGTGAGAAATCTAGTTCTAACTCCGATCCAAAATTCATCAAGGATTTTTGTGAAAACTTAAGTTTCAGGTTTGAATCGATAGATAGCTTTACAGATTCTTTTGCACTTTACATAACAGGTAATTAATCTCATTAATATAAAATCAATGTAATTTCTTTATAAGTCTAATCTCATTAATGCCAATTACTGTAATTTCCTTAAGAGTATTATGAATGCAGTTCCTTTAAATTCAAATATGGAATTTAATTTTCGTAAGCGCAAAATTTCGCTTTGTGACCCTATTTGGGGTCTCGACCCATTAGTTTAAGAAATACTGCCTTAAACACTCACTGATTTTCAAATGAAAATTAATATGTATTTTATTTTTCTGCTTCTTTAATTTTCCTATTTGTGTAATTGTATCGACAATACTAGTGTGTAAAATTTTATCCCATACAGTTCAGACATTTTTTTACCTCCTATTTCTATAAGTTTTGTATAGGATTCATTTTTTTTTTACAATAATAAACAGATTTGCGTTCACGCATTTTTACTTTTCTGCACGAATTTAAGGAAGTATTGCAATCAAGATAAATTTCGAGTATTATATTTCAACTCAAATGTTCATTTTGACGGCTGTCGAATTTATTTCGACGATTTTTCTTTTGGCCCCACCTGTGTACGTACAGGCAGAATAAAGGCCTGTTTTTTCAAAACGGCTTGTAAAATGGATTTAAAATAGATTCAGAAGAGACTTTTCGTGACACGTACGTATGTATCTTGCTTAACTCAAAAACAAATAGCTTTAGAACGCTGAAATTTTGTATATGGTACTGCTATAATACTAGTTGTGCAGCTCCCTTTTCGTTGCAATCAGCAACATTATACATTCTTACCTTATTACGCGGCCGAGGGAGTTCAGTATTTTTATTCTTATATGTTGGTAAATTGTGCATTTTTTGTTTTAAGAATAGTTGAATTGTGTTGTTTTTTGCTCCCGCTTAAGGCGCTACGCTATATCCACCTTTCATGTAGTTACGTTGTGTATTTAATGCTGTAAATATGTAATCCTTATGCTATGATATGTCATATCATGTTGCATTGCTGTGTCATGTTATGTCTACGCTACGATATGAAGTCATCTGCAATGTCCACCGTCGCATGGTCATACCCACACTGCGAATGTATGTTGTAAATATGTAACCTCATATGTTATGTCGCTATGTCTTATCTACGCTTAACTATGTTATGTCGCTATACTATGTCCACCTGTCGTGTAAGTTACATTACGTTGAGTATTTAATGTTGTAAATATGTTATGTCACTATGCAATGACTATATTCTATACTATATCACGTAGAATGCTATGCTGAGCTATGTTATGTCGCCATGCAATGCCTTCCTGTCATGTAGGTAATGCAACGCTAGGGTCCCGGAATATACCCGATTAGTCTTTGTAAGCCGTCCGGGTGTCCGGCCCTGCTCTCACCTGTCACGCTTGAGGATTTTATGCCTTTGGTTAATCTGCATGCAATAGTTGTAGAGTTAAACCAGTTTAAAAGTGACGCTAGGTCTTACTAGGCAGCCATTTGTTTACATTTAAAACTGTTAGTAGAATAGTGAATTAAGTCAGCCGATGCGCCAACTTTAGTGTGGGATCAAAAGTAAACTTTTAGTTTTGTGCACCGAAACCTCTGTCTTCCTACCTACTACCTGAATTGTTTGCTTTTGCGTAGAAAATCTAATTTTAATTTTAAAAGAACATTTTTAACTGTTTTTAATTGTATTTCGTGTTTTAGGTTTTTCTGTATTTTACGATATTTAATGAAGGTGTCTTGTCGCGAAGTGAGAACTGAGTTGGTTGAATGAGAAAAACGTGTGTAATGTGAAATTCGAGGAAATAACCTTAAATGAAATGCAGCCAAAAATGTATATACGTAATTCAACGGGCGGTACAAGGAAGTCAGTCATGTGGTGCCCACATCAGATATTTCTAATCTTAAAAATAATAAAATAAACAAAATGCACAGAATTTTTTACCTTAAAGTATTAGAGAAAGTGCAGAATCGTCCACTGCTTGGCGCGATTTTAAGAATTGCACATACTCGGTATCGATGCACATATCGACCTATTTTCACTTAAAATAACATCCCAGCATTGCACAAAAATGACATTCCGCACTCCCTTGACTTCCATACACACTGACTATTTTCACTTAAAAAGGCAAAGAAGAAAATTGACAAAAATCCATTCTTCTTACTTTGTAAAAGCGCCAAACAACGCCAACAATAAGTGGGCGATTCTGCACTTTAGCCAAAGTATTTAGGTGCCTAAAATCACAGGAGATATTATAACAATTATGCATCATAGACATTCACATGCCACTCAGGTGTTATAGTAGTTAGTGTAGTTGATTGCCGTACCAGACGGCACGGGTTCGAGTCCTGGAGAAGGTGTTATTTTTTTAACCGTATACTGGTGTGTATTTGGTGTATTTCATTACGGTAAAGCACACTAGGGCTATCTGCCTAAGAGAAGGGATGCCTTCGTGGAGGACTTTCTAAGAAAATGGCTGTATCACGTTACACATGGGGGGGAAAGGAAAACCACGAAACCCCATACAGCAGCCCGTTCGCGGGATTCGAACCTTGGACCGAACTACCAGTGTTCAGCGACTTTACCGCTTGGCCGCTGGTGGGCCTAACCGTATACTGTCTGAACGGCAAAGGGGCATTAAGAAAATCCTTTCGAGCTGAATAAAGTCATACGGTCCTATACCTGGTGTTCATGCCAACGGCTGACGTAATCTTTCATCTGAGCTGTTAGCGGATTGACTACTGAGCTAAGTTACAACAACAACAATGACGTTGGAATTTATGATTCATATTTCTGGTGCGTCATGCACCAAAAATATGCAAAATCTCATGAAAACAGCACTTGCCTCTCGTATCTTTCCAAAACATATTTTACCTCCAACGCTTACTATTCCCGCTTTATTTCCAAAACCTTTATGTTTATTAAAACTGTAGAGAATTTAGGTTATTTCTAAGCAGGGAGGATGAAAAATGAGCAATGCCCTCGCCGGGACTCGTACCACGGACCTCTCGAATACACGTTGAGCGTGCTGACCACTAGACCACGAAGGCATACTAAGAATGCTGAAGAAATACCTTATAAGACAACTAATCAACATAATTCGAAGTGAATGAAGATTAATAGATGGTTTGGTTTGGTTTGTTTGGTTACGTCAAAGCACACGAGGGCTATCCATCTAAGGGCCATCGTGGATGTCTTTCTAAAGGAAACTGGCTCGTATATATGTTACACATGGGAAAGAAGACCACGAAAATTCCCATTCAGCCAAACCGTTCGCTGATTCGAACCTCGGATCGAACCTTGATCCAGCCATCCAATTCACTCTTGAAATTGAATCCAACAATTCCCTCCCCTTCCTCGATATTCTTATAATCCGCAATGAAACGATTTAGCACCACGTGTACGTAAACCCTTGCAGTTGTTTACCACCCTGCCAAGTCATGCCACCCTGTTAAGAAAAAAATGCCTTCTTTTTAAATATGTATCGAGCGCTTAAAAAGTTTGTTCC